GCAATTGCGAAACCTGGTCGCAAATGCGAACTCGCAAATGCGAAGGCTGGTTCGCAAATGCGAACCCAGCCCAGGCCTGCCTTGGCTCGCAAATGCGAGGTCCTCCTTCGCAATTGCGAAGTGTGCCCAGATGGCTGGAGGTCGCAAATGCAACTAATTGTTCGCAAATGCGAACAAGCCCAGATTTCCTAGAGTTCGCAAATGCGAATTTCCTCTCACATTTCCCAAGCCTGCAGGGTTCGCAAATGCGAACCCAGTTCGCAATTCCCATATCTGCAGCCCAGCGATTTTTATATTTAATCGATTTTGAGCTTCATTTTTTACATTTTCTCAAACTCAAACACCCATAGGCGATTTTCCAAGAAATCTTTCTTCTCCAAATCAATTGTAAGTTAATTTCTACTTATTTCTTTCAATCATTAACATCATTCAACATGTTTTTCACTTAAAATCAATGATTTTCATGGGTGAAATTGGGGTTTTTGGGTAGAACCTAGGTTTTCTAAAAATTGGGGATTTGGACCTCAATTTGAGGTCCGATTTCAAAACAAATTACATATTTGAGTTCGTGGGGGAATGGGTAACCGGGTTTTGGTTCGAACCTCGGGTTTTGACCACGTGGGCTCGGGGCAATTTTGGAATTTTTGGGAAAAACTTTAGGAAATTCATTTTTATGCATTCAAATTGATTCATTTAATGTTTATTAAAGAAATTAAGTAATTTGTGGCTAGATTCGAGCGGATTGGAGGTGGAATCACGGGGTAAAGCCATAGTTGAGGCTTGAGTTGAGTTCAAGGCATCGAGGTAAGTGTTTGGTCTAACCCTAGCTTGAGGGAATAAGAGTTGAGTCTTATTTGCTACTTGTTGATTGTCGAGTACGATGTATAGGCATGGTGACGAGTATCTATACATTGGTGTCTAGCATGACCGTGAGTCCTTATTTTGCGAATAGTTTAGATTTTGTTATACCTTCCATGCTTAATTGTTGACTTCTATATGTTGTAAAGATCTTGCGAAAGAAATTGTGATCTTTGAACTTCGTGGAGCATTGGCTCGGGTTGAAATACAAATTATGAAGGTATATGAGATAAGCAACTCATTGGAGCATTGGCTCAAGTGATAATGTGAACTATGAGATGAAAGTGAAAGGAAGTGAAGAGTTAATGATTTATTCCCTTGTCGGGACGTTGTTGGTTATTGATATTGTATACTTGCCGGGTTTTTAATTGTTTGATTGTGTACCCTTGTCGGGATGTTCATTATTGTTTTATTATTCCCTTGCCCTTGTTTGTGATTGTTGATTGGGTGAGGAAGAGTGTTAAAGCACGAAGGGTGATGTGGTGCATTATTTGTTTCTTGTGAGGAAAGAGTGTAAAGCACGAAGGGTGTGCATTATTTGCTTATTGCGAGGAAAAGAGAGTAAAGCACGAAGGGTGATGTCGTGCCGCACGATGTGCCATTCCATGCCTATTCTATTGATTACATGTGAGGAATGAGAGTAAAAGCACGAAGGGTGATGTCCTGCACGTTTGTTTATATTATTGCTTAGTGAGGATGAGAGTAAAAGCACGAAGGGTGATGCCGTGCACTTGTTGATCTCCGTTCCTTATTGTTGTATGTGTTGTGCCTTCCCTTTGTATTAGTCAATTTATGCTTGAAACTGTTATCTCCCCACAACATGCTTCCCCTTCCATATTGTTTTACTTGTCTTGTATTTCGATTCCGCTGTATATGCATAATTGCACAGGTTTATGTGGTAGTTCAGTCTAGCCTTGTCACTACTTCGCCGGAGTTAGGCTAGACACTTACCAGCACATGGGGTCGGTTGTGCTGATACTACACTCTGTGCTATTTTGCACAGATCCAGGTTTCGAGCAGCAGTAGCAGTAGTGTGGGAGCAGGCTTCATTTCAGCGAGAATCGAGGTAGCCTTGCAGGCGTCCGCAGGCCCAGCGTCTCCTTTATCCTTTATTTTTATTTGTTATCTCATTGTATTCGAGACAAACAACTTATGTTCTCATTCAGATGTTTGTATGTATTAATCTTAGCAGTTCGTGAGTACAGTGACACCAGTCTTGGGTAGAGGATTTTGTTGAACTTTTCCGCATTTCTGTTCAGTTTTTATAAAATGTTAAGACTTCCGCTTATTATTGAATTTCGTTGCTTTTGTATTATTGTCGTAAATTGTTAAAATGGACTAGATTATTAATGGACAAGTAAATAAATTTGGCTTGCCTAGCTCCCATTAGTAGGCGCCATCACAACTCCCGAGGGTGGGAAATCCGGGTCGTGACACAATTGTATCTAACTTATATCTGATACATTAATACCCGAAATAATACCTGATATAATACTAATAAATAAATATACAATTATCAAATTTGTGATACAAATTGTGAAATTCGTCACAAATTCATAACTGCTCGTAACAATATACAATGAATATACCATTATTATACATTTGTAATACAATTCCTGCAACAATTATGATACAAATACAATTATAATACAATCGCGATACATTTCTGAAAAATTGGGATACAATTATAATCTTTATTTTCCTCAAGTTTCAATCACAACTCTACACTAAAAATTTAATATAATAGTATTATAATTGTATTAGTATTGTATCCACAACTTACCCACAACTTGATTGTAGAGCAAAATTTCGAATTTCTTCTGTATTGAGATTTTGGATTATTAAAAAGAGAGAAATCGGATATCAAAAGCTTTGGAAGAAGAAAGAATCTGCAATTTTGGGGGGATAACAGTGGATGATTGAAAGAGAGAAATCGGATATCAAAAGCTCTAGATGAGGAGTGAGTAAGCGAGATTTTTTGGTTAGAAAGATTTTGGGCATCAGTGGGTAAGAGAGAATTCTTACGGTGGGTAAGTAAAAAATTAGAAGATGTTTTTGTTATCCTTTTGGAAAAGGAAGAGAATCTTAAATGTAGGGGGATTATGTGTAAC